GGGGGGATTGAACCTATAGATCAGTGTAATAGAGAAAGAACATCACAGGAGTGAGCATGGTCCCATCGGGCTTATTGACTCACTACTGCTATATCCAACTCAACGTGCTGGTTGAACGAGCGATATAGGGATAATATTAGACTATAGCGGTTTGTTATCAACCTTGTCTCCAATACCTGAGGATGCTACTCATCGAATGCCCGGTGCAGCCTAGTGGTGTCCTCAAGAACACTAGATTCCGTGGTAGGGAGCAAACTCTACTGGCGAGCTATCTACATGCTCATTCACTAGTCTACAACTATCTACATAGTTCATTTTTTCCTCATTTTCTACATGCTGTATATATGGATGTCGTGTACCTGCATATTATCATCGACACAGTTACGAGACGATGAGAGCAGCAGCTAGCGGTAAGGTATTAGAGGAAGTGTCCTCCGGCCCACCATGGTCGGAGGAAGAGGATGAGCTACTGAAGAGGCTATGGGATGAGTATAGGCATGCCCCTGATAGATATGGCATTATAGCTATCAATCTCCCAGTACATGAGTAAGTACTTAGTAGTATGCTGCCTCCTCACATCTATCGATACTTATTCAGTGATGGGTATGAGCGCTTAGCATCTGATGTTAAGAGGAGGCTTGCGGAGCTTGGTATTGCTACACGACTACAGTCAGGGGATGAGGACGGCAGCGAGGAGGATGAAGGTTGGTGTTTGGGAGAGGATTATCGAGGAGTAATGCATGTGTACCAGGTGGAAGAGGGGCTAATCATGTTGAAGGTGATCATGACGATGATGAAGGCGCCTCTTCTGGCTCTTCACACGGAGAGCAGGATGATGATGACGAGGAGGAGGAAGACGGATTCGATATCGATCGCATCAGGAATCTGCATACCGCCGACCAGGAGCCAGACAGTGATGATGATGATGCTATCGGCTTTAGTGATGACGAGGTTGAAGAAGAGGAGGAAGAGGAGGGGGAGAACTTGCCTGATAAGGCCAATAGGGTCCCGACTAGTGATGTCCCTATGCCCGATAGTACTACTACTGATATCTCTGATAATGTCGATAACATAGTGGAGGCAGGCCTAGCAGGTTGGTCCACTTCGCCTAACACCTCTTGATTCTGTATGACAGATACCTTGCCGGAGTTTGAGGAATTGCGAATAGGTCTTAAGAAGGTTCTGGAAGAGGCTACTGATGACACCTTGCTATCACAGAGGGAACTGGACATGCTAGGTCCGGATGCTGTGGACATGCTCAGGGCTTCTATATCTACACCACCGTAATTTACACCATTCTCATGCATACCACGTTTCTTAATTATCACCAACCTTTTATTGTCGGGGATGATTATGATAGCGATTTGGGATTCTTGTTACTTGTTGTTATTGTTATATCTTCATCATGACAGTAACCATCCAGAGGCAGGAGTTCATACTGGATAACGAAGGGAAGAACTTGTGTGACTACTATGATGTGGAAAAGAAGAACCTAGGAACAGGTAATGTTCTCATTCCACAGTTGTATCGCATCATCCTCTGTATTGTAAGGTACTTACGGTTCAGTATCAGTAGCTGTGAGTAGGGCTACTGGGGTGAAGAGAGCTTGCAAGACTATATCTAAATCCCAGGTTAAGAATGTCCCTCGATTCCGTCAGGAGGTAGTTATCTTTCATAATAGGGATGGTAGGGTGATGGTATCAGATATCTATTATGAAGATGGTAGACCATCCTAACATCATACGCTTATATGAGACCTTTGAGGACGCCAAGAATATATACCTCATCATGGAGTTATGTACGCCGCCGCATGCCCGTGCCTCCTGCCAATAGTACTAGGACCCTTACTCAGGTACTGGTGGTGAACTCTTCGATCGTATAATCGACAAGGGATACTTCACAGAGAATGATGCTGCAGTGATTATGAAGCAGATATTCGCCGCCGTGTATTACTGTCATAAGCATCATATTGTAACATAGGTGACGGGTTAATAACACATTGAGAATGATAGTCTGTTTAGGTGCATAGGGATTTGAAGCCAGAGAACTTCCTCTTCCTGGATAAGTCCCCCGAGTCGCCTCTCAAGGTCATTGACTTCGGCCTTGCCACACTACGGGAGCCTGGTCAGTGTATGAAGACTAAGGCTGGCACGCCGTATGACGTCTGTTATTCGTTAAAGTCATCAACCATGGCTTACCATCAGGTATTATGTAGCCCCCCAGGTCCTACAGGGTGAGTATGATGGCAAGTGTGATTCGTGGAGCTGTGGTGTGATAATGTAGGAGGCTCAAGAGGGGTTGGTACTATTATTAAGCTGATGATAGGTATGTACTTTTATGTGGGTATCCTCCCTTCTATGCTGATACTGATTCTGAGATCTTGAGGAGAGTCCGCATGGGCAAGTACTCATTCCCTGACGCCGATTGGAAGGATATTAGTGATGAAGCTAAGGACCTGATAAGGAAGCTATTGACCTACGACCCAGGGAATAGGTAACATCAGCAGGCCTACCATATTCTGTAGCTTATGTATTGCTCTTCAGATGGACCGCTGAGCAAGCACTGAATCATAGGTGGATTAAGACTATGGCAGCAAAAGACTTCCATGGTGATAAGAATGAACATAAGAAGGTCGTAGCTAGTCTGAAGAACTTCAGAGCTCAAAACAAGATGAAGAAGGTAGGACCAGGAGTAGCCATCATTATAGTAACTATGCTCCTATTAGGTTGCTCTCACTGTCATAGCTCAACAGCTCGATGAGTCTGATATTGGCAAACTGAAATCGACCTTCCAAGCTCTTGATAAGAATAATGATGGTATGTTGTCAGTACAGGAAGTCAAGGAAGGTAGGCATTCTATCATTCACGCGTTATGATATGTAGTATGTAGGGATGCAAAAGAGTGGTGTAGCATTACCTGAAGATCTAGAGGAGATAATGAAAGAGGTTGATTCTGATGGCTCTGGTGCTATCGATTATACAGAGTTCATAGCAGCTACAATGGATAAGAAGCTGTACTGCTCACCTCGGCCCTAATATCATCAGTATTCATGTGATCATCGTGTTGTTGTAGATATATTCAAAAGGATGTATGTTGGGCTGCATTCAGAGTATTCGATAGAGATGGCAACGGGAAGATATCTCGAGAAGAGTTGCAAGATGTGTTGGGGAATGATGATGTTAGGACCGCTCTGGGCTCTGATCTGGTCACACAAATGATTAATGAGGTTGATCTCAATGGTGATGGTGAAATTGATTTCGACGAGTTCATGCAGATGATGCAGAAGTCAACATGATGAGCTACCTCTCCTCCCTTACATTCCTTGATCTGCTGTCTCTTCCATCATTTCTGTCATGATTTACTTCTGATTTAGTCGCCTCGTCATCTTATTGCTGCTATTTGTAATCAATCAGCCATTGTGCCATTCCGAAATTGGCGTGTATCAGTGAAGTCTATGGGCGGTTCCTAGAGTATTCTCCTCAATTCACCTCGACGTTTATCACTATCTCTACTGTATGAACGAGTTTCTGACCAC